TCTGAGTGGTGGCTTATCGGTTGGCTTTACCGCATGAATTATCTCACGTGCATGACGTGTTTCATGTCTCCATGCTTCAGAAATGTCAACCTGATCCGAAAGCTGTAGTACAGTGGTTTGACGTTCCGATACAGTATGACGCATCATACGAAGAGGCACCAGTTCAGATTCTTGATCGGAAAATAAAGAGTCTGCGTCATCGTGAGATCCTGTTAGTGAAAGTATTATGGCAGCACCATGGAGATGAGGAAGTGACATAGGAGCTTGAAACGACGATGCATGAGCAGTATCCGTATCTGTTTACACTTTTAGGTGGGCCTTAATTTCGGGGATGAAATTGCCTATGGGGGGTGGAGCTGTAACACCCTGAAGAATTAAATGAGATTAATAAAGGTAATTGAGATTATTAGTGTGCCTAATCTGATGTAATTAATTGAGTTTTGATTAATAAATGTTTCTGACACGTTTGAGTTTAAATAATTACAAGGTATTTAAATATTCTCAGTGTTTCCATGTTTACCTAGAAGTGTGTATGGGCACATTTGTGGACAGTTATTTTAAATTTAGTGACACCTGTCTTTTATTTCTTTTCTTTTTCTTTTCTTTTCCTTTTTCCTTTTCTTTTCCCTCTTTCTCGTGCATTCACTCTCTCTCTCTCTCTCTCTCATTTTGTCCCAAATCAAACGGATCTTGAACCAAAGGTAAGTTTCAAAGCGTTTTCAACGTTAAGAGAAGGATTCGAGGTAAGATTACTAAAAGAACCTCTCTTGAATCTCAAGTTTTTCAATTTCAGAACTTACTTTTGGTTCAAACCAGATATTGATGGATTTTGAGTAAAACCTTGGTAGAAATTGGAGATCTTGGGTTCTTTGGACTTGTTTTAGGACCTAGAACCCAGATCTAGTGGTTTTCCTTTGAAATGTTTCGATTTGGGACTGAGATTGCAGGTTTTTGGACTGGTTTCCGTAAGCTTCTCTCGCACAGCTGGTGCCACCGATCGACCGGTCTGGTCGACCGGATCACATGGTAACCGGTCGACCAGTGCGATCGACCGGATTGCATTGGCCTGACCGGTCAACCTGTCCGGTCGACCGGAGTGCACACCACCGGTCGACCGGTGGTAATGCACTATTCTGTCACCGGTTGACCGGTTGACACGAGGTTTGACCTTGTTTGGCCTGAAATTGCTGTTTTGACCCTTGTATTCGGGGAGAACCCAAATTAGCTCCATTTGGGGACTTGAGATGAATGGATTAGCATCTTTAATCCTTATTTTGAGATTGAAAACCCTTGGAATGATAATTTGAAACATGAAAATGGATTAGGGCACACTAATTGGAAACCTTGGTATCTAATTGAGATTGGATTGCTTTAGGAATGAGAATTAATCCTAAAGTGTTGTCTTGCATCAGTGATCACTAAGGATTCAGACTGAAGGGGCTTGAAGAAGCGAATGCCGGAAAAGGCAACGCTAGTCCCAGGTTTGATAGTGCGAGGTAGGATTTGTATCCATTTTCCTTGTGAGCCTGATTTTCAGAGAAAGAAGTTTGGCCTTGAAATTGTTTTAAAGAAAGGGGCTTGTTTGCGAAAGAAAAACTCTTTAAAAACCATGACTTGTTTAGTTCATGGAATCTCATGGCTTGCCCAGTCATGGGGCCCGCTTCTTGAGTAGTTCGTTGGGTCATAATAACGATTTCAGAAAGTTAATGAATGATTTCTTAAGATAAGAGATCTTGTGAACTGGTAAGAGAGTCTATTGCTGTAAGCCTAGATAGGATGCGGATAGTGCATTCTCGGGGGCAGAACCCGAAACTCGGTCCGGGTAGGCGAGGCACTTGGTTAGGTAAGTAATTTGTACTAATTACTTGCTGAAGCCTGTAATACGGTTACTTTCAGTTATATTTCCTTTGAGAAAAGGGATGTGAGGTTCCGGCTGTCTGTTGGAACTAAATGTCTATTTATTTACTTACCTATTTATTTATTTACTCGCACATTTATATATTCATTTATTTATAATGTTTATTTCAAATTATATCCTACTGGGTCTTTCGCTCACGTTTTATGTTTTAAATGTATTAAACCACTCCCAGAAGATTCTAGGAGCGGTGCACAGTAGCTGGTTATTTGCTACGGATTAGCTGGGTTGTGCTACGGATCGATCAAGTGAGGATTGTGTTCATCCTCTGGAATAAAATGTAAGGAATTGAGAATTCTGTAAACTCTTGAAATATTTGGATTAACTAGACTGTGGTTGATGTCTGTTGTAATAATTATTTACATGTGCATGTATGTACGATACTGTATGTCCTGTGGGGTGGAGCCCTGTGTGTTGTCAGAGGCTCGAGATTCTGTAATTTATTTATCTTTTAATTCAATTGAGTGTGGCTCGTCTGGAAATCTGTTTTATTAACCCCTAATCGAGCTTTAAGTCACCCACCCCGTTTAGGAGGGGGATATAATAATAGATGTACATAAATAATGAAATTTCTATTTTATTAATTAAATAATAAAATTAAAAATCACATCTCATGATTTTGAATACCCAACAATAATAAACGGTGAAAGGAATTATTAGCATTTAGGTACGGGCCCGCCATCTATTTTAGTTGGCAGGGTCCATAAGATTTAAAATCAAAATTTTTGAAAGTAATTTATCAAAATTAAAAACTTAGAGACCAAAGTGACCGAGTGCAAATCACTTAAGAATTAACAATACACATATATCAGTGATGATCTCAGAACCTTCGTTTTATAGAGAGAGATGACGATGACAAATTAGGTAATTGGTGCAAATGGTCCTGCACTTTTAAATAACAATTTTGCGTTATTTTAGTCAAATTAATAACGTCCATTTAAAGTTTTGTATGAAACCTCACGTACATGTTATTTTTTGAGCAAAATTTACTAAAATGACCTTAAAAATACCAAAAAATAAAAAATAAAAAGTAGGATTTTTATCACTGGTGCCGCTTAATCTTTTGGGTTCATTCATAATTAGCGGCCTTGAACTTTAGAAGCACTCATTTTGTCCCATGAAATTTTAATTGTTCCCACTTAATGCATTTTATTGAAATTTCTAGTAAAAACAAATATAAAAAAAGTGAGTGCAATCATTTGGTTTTTTTGTTTTGTTTTAATTTCTGTTAAAAACAAACAGATAAAAACCAAATGAAAATACTTAACTTGCTTTTTTTATGTCTGATTTTAACAGAAATTCTTATGTAAAAGGTGGGATTAGTTCAAAATTTAGTGGGTAAAGTGAGAGTTTTTAAAGTTTACGTGGTAAAGTGAGAATGACTTCAAAATTAAGGATTACTAGTAAGATTAACCCAAAAAAATAAGAAGTAATTATATAACAAACCTACTATAGAAGCTATATTTTCACAAATTAATCACATTTATGTAAATAACCTAAAAAATAGAGAAAATTCAAAAAGTATCCCTTCAGTTTTGCCTAAATAGAACTTTTATGTCTGAGTTTTTTAAAATCCAAAAAGTATTCCCTTTGGTTTTGAAAATAGATAAAAAATATCTATTCTTTTAACTTTCTAGTTTAGTTTTTTTTGAATGGCCAAATTGTCCTTGGATATTCCATATACTATTCAAATTTTGAATTATACCAGCTTCCAAACATCTCTCTTAAATTTTTTTTTTAAATGGCTCTCTTAGAAAATTTACAGCACCAATTTAAACAACATTTTTTTTAATTTTATTAAGAAATTGAAATCTTTAAAAAAAAAAGATGTAAGTTTTTTGTCACGTAGTAGTATGGACAATTCTAGCAAGTTGATTTATTATGCACTACAAAATACATTTTCACCTCAAAATTGGTCCATAAATTCGTTATGTTTTACCAAATAGAATTTCAAAAAAAAAATCTTTTTTTCAAAAAGATTTCACTTTCTTATTAAAATGACGAAAGCAAAAAAAAAAAAAAAAAGTTCAAATTGGTGCTGTAAAATTCCTAAGAGGTTTACTTCAAAAAAAAAAAGGAAGAAAATTTAAGAGGGGTGCTTAAAAGTTGGTATAGCAAAACACAAAGTTAGACAGTATATGAAATATTCAATGACAATTTGACTTTTAAAAAAAAAAAAAACCTAAAAACTTAAAAAGAATGTATACTTTTTTGTATGGATAAAAAAACACAAGGGTACTTTTTAGATTTTCTCCAAAAAATAATATGGATTCTTCTTAAATAGTATTTGTAAAAAGTTATTTTTCATATTATTTGTAAAGTGAAAAATATTACAATGTGCAATGAGCAAATTAAAAAACATAATGAACGTGAAAGAAAGAACAATATTTATTGTAAGGAAAAAAATTAAAAAACTAATAAAACATTAAAAAAACAAAAAAGGGAAAAAAATTTAAAACAATGTAAAGGAACAAAATTGTACTTCACAATAATACAAAATGAACAGTACATTTTCCCTTGTAAAATTCGGCCCAGGGATAAAAATAAGGTGGGCCATGTTAAAAATCTCTCTTAGGACATTTGGTTAGAAAATTCAAATTAAAATTTAAAAAGAGAAAGAGAGAAATAGATTCATATTTAAGATGAATTAAAATTAATAGGTCAATAGTTTATATAAGTTAATAAATAGCTTAAATTATTATTTTTATCTATAATTTGTCTAGTTATGAACAATAACTTGATAAATTATTGTCTATTTTTATCCATAACTTATCTAATTATGAATCATAACTTAATAAATTTATCCATAACTTATCTGATTATAAATTATAACTTGACAAATTATGACCTATTAATTTCTATAACTAAAAATTAACTTATATACTTTCTTAAATTTTTTATATTAATTTAATTTTTACTATTTTTATAATTTAAATTATGATTTATAATTTGTTATAATATTTTTTTTATAAAAAATATAAATAAATTAAAAATAATTTTAATCACGTAATTCTAATTCGTCAACGAAACCTCTCCTTATTTTCTCTTCTCCTTTCCTTTCCACTTTACAAAACAAGCACCGTAACTCCATACTCTCTCTCTCTCTCTCTCTCGACATTCTCAGCGAACCACCGCCACCATCAATTAAACCAAACCACAAACCCAACTTCCTCTTTTTCTCATCTTCCCTTCCGAAACAAATAGAACGCCACATCCACAAGCACAATAGCCATTTAGATTAAACCATCTGTGGCAGCTATTCTTCACAAATGACTCAAGCTCTCCACTTGATTTTTCAGAAACATGGGTTTTTCTTCGATGGGTTGTCATTGGATTAAGTGCTTCTTATTTGATACAGAGGTGGGTGTTGTTGGACGCCTTGTTTTCCAAAGCTACTTTCTTTGTTTTTTGGGCATTTGGTTGTAAATAATTATATATATGTATGTATATATATATATATATATACACATTTGAAATCTTCTTACTGGAAATTCCTAATTTCATTCAATTTGTTGAAATTGTGTAATGGGTTAATGATTGTGTGTGTGGGCTTACTTTATTGACTTCTTCAAACGTGTTTTGTTTTTTGTTTTTTTCTATCTCTGAAAATTTATGGAAAGACGTAAATGCCCTTTAAAATATCATCATATGAGAGGTTAGTATAGTTTCTGTTAGATTTTGGACGGACTAGATTGTCGCTAAAATTAAAGAGTTAATTACCACAACTGATGGGTTGAGGACTAAGACTCTGTTTATTTCGTTGATTCGAGTTTAGAATTTGAGTTTTTTTACAGTAAAAATCTCTCACAAACAATCACATTTAACTTTTTTATTACAGTAAAAAATTCTTACATAAAATCACATCTCAACTTAAATTAAAAATTCAAATCAGCAAACTAAACATGTCCTAAATTGTTAATCAATATGCCTGTTCATAAATTTAGCTAATAAATTTTTCTCAACTACTTTTCTTGATAGAATCCGTATGTCCCACAGTGGAAGAAGTGGACGTTGAAGAAGACTTTTAAGGCGTCTGTCATTTTATTAATGTCTAGAAAGAAGAATGTTGAAATGTGGCCCTTCGACAGTCAACTTGAAACTTACGTGCAATTTCTTTTAACATTAATTTATTTAGATTTTTTTCTTCGACCTGTCTAGTACATCCTTTCCACATATTAAATTCAAAGGAAAAATAATTAAAAATTTTCCACCATTGTTTGATCATTGGACTAAAAATGTGCTGTGAATGATGGCTGGTGAAGAAAACTGGATAATGGAAATTTGACCCTCATAATTCTCAATAGCTTGCCGTATCCTTCAAGCCATCTTCTCAACGCCCCATCACAAAGCCATTTTCTACCTTCAATTTACATTGCCAAATGTAGAGAGTGCCAGAATTAGAATCAAATGGCCAGTTTTGGCAATTTTGTAATTGCTGTTATGTTCCTGCTTCTCTCCCACACAGTTTCCGATGCAATTGATAGCGTTGATTCATCCCAATCTATCAGAGATGGCACAACTTTGGTTTCTAAACAAGGAAGCTTTGAGTTTGGTTTCTTCACTCCAGGTAATTCCAATAATCGTTATGTGGGAATTTGGTACAAGAAAATCTCTGTTCAAACTGTCGTTTGGGTTGCAAATCGATGCAACCCGATTAACGATTCTTCTGGCTCGTTGAGCATAAACAGCACAGGCAATCTTGTGCTCTTGTATCAGAACAAGACTGTTGTTTGGTCGACGAACTCATCCAAACAAGCCCGAAAACCAATAGTAGAGCTTCTAGATTCTGGAAATCTTGTGCTAAGAGATGACGAAGATAGAAATGCGGAAAACTATTTGTGGCAAAGCTTTGACTATCCCTCAGATACAATATTGCCAAACATGAAATTTGGGTTGGATTTGAGGACGGGTCTTAAGCGGCATCTCTCGGCTTGGAAAAGCTGGGATGATCCTTGTCCTGCAGATTTCACTTTAACAACTGAGTATGATCCACAACTTCATACGTTCCCTGATGGTTATATCTGGAAAGGCTCAGCAAAGTTCTTCCGCACAGGACCTTGGAATGGCCTTCGTCTTAGTGGCTCACCGGAACTAAGGTCAAACCCGCTTTATAATTTCACCGTTGTTCAGAATGACAATGAAGTGTATTTCATATACAACCTCAAGAATGAGTCAGTGATCACAAGGGTAACTCTAAACTATACCACAAGGCGTCGTGAGCGCCTCACATGGATAGAGGCTGAACAAACTTGGAGGCTTTATTCATCATTACCTAAAGATGACTGTGATAGCTATGGTGTCTGTGGAGCCCATGGAAATTGTATGATAGACGAGAGCCCGATCTGTCAATGCCTAAGAAGATTCAAGCCCACGTCTCAAGAGAAATGGAATTCAATGGACTGGTCGGATGGATGTGTCCGGAATAATCCTTTGAACTGTACGGAGAAAAATAGAGATGGGTTTGTCAAATATTCTGACTTGAAAGTCCCAGATACAACACATTCTTGGGTGAACAAGAGTATGAATCTAGAGGAATGTAGGGCCAAATGCTTGAGCAACTGTTCTTGCACGGCTTATACAAACTACGATATCAGAGGACAAGGCAGTGGTTGTGCCATCTGGTTTGGTGATCTGATGGACATCAGGCAATTTTCCAGTGGTGGACAAGATCTGTTTATTCGTATGTCACATTCAGAGCTAGGTAAGAGTCTACTTATTTCAGATATGTCACTGGTCAAATATATATGCACACATTAAATATTGCCTTCATTTTCAAATCTCCGAGCTACAAATTGATTCCTTTTGCTTTATTTTCAAAATAACTTAGATAAAGGAAGTGCTGATTATAAGAGGAGAGCATCAGTGATTGTGGTAGCTGTCATTGGAGGTGTTTCTGGGATGCTCCTGCTTGTGTATTGCATTCGCAGGAGAAGGTCAAAAGGTGATACTCATTATTTTGACTTTGTTAACTCTCTGCTTTCAATTTCCTGCAACAAAAAAAAAAAAAAAAAAAATGTTATTGTTTTTGCAAGAATAACATTCACCTAAGAGATGCTTAAATTTAATTGAAAAACAAATAAAATAGAGCATATATAAAGTCTGAACTAAAGAATCTGTGGGTACATAGGTCGTCCTCATTTCTTATACCTAACATGAAGATAATATTTTTATGCCATTTCGTCTAATTGTATTTCACAAAACAGATAGAAATCAAACAATGAGTCAGAATGGAGATGGAGACCGAGATGGAGACGCAGACGAAGACCTGGAACTACCTTTGTTCAAACTGTCTTCTATAACTGCTGCCACCGATGCTTTTGCTCTCTACAATAAGCTTGGAGAAGGTGGTTTTGGACCCGTATACAGGGTAAGCTTCTCAGATTGAAATTTACGATAAATATGGAAAATGTGAAATATATTTAGTCCTTGTGTAGTAAGTTTTTGATTTTGTCCTCTTTGGTTTATGTTTGAGATTTCCAGGGCAAGCTAGAAGATGGACAAGAAATTGCGGTGAAGAGACTATCAATACGTTCTGCGCAAGGAGTAACAGAGCTGAGAAATGAAGTAAAACTAATTGCGAAGCTTCAACATCGAAATCTTGTGAAGCTTCTTGGTTGTTGCATTCAGGGAGAAGAAAAATTGTTGGTTTATGAGTATATGCCGAACAAAAGCCTCGACTCTTTCATTTTTGGTGAGAATCCCAATCTGCTAAATTAAATAACTAATTTCTACTATGTTGTTGCTTTATGAACTTGGATATACGACTCATTGGCAGATCAAAAGCAAGGAAAACTCTTAGAATGGCCAAAGCGCTTCCAGATCATATGTGGAGTTGCTCGAGGACTTCTATATCTTCACCAGGATTCTAGATTGAGAGTAATACATAGAGATCTCAAAGCTAGTAATGTTTTACTTGACAATGACATGAATCCTAAAATCTCAGACTTTGGCTTGGCAAGAACTTTCGGAGCAGATCAAACAGAAGAAAAGACAAACAGAGTAATTGGAACCTAGTAAGTCCTATTCCTTTGTGCTCTTTCTTTTTTAAATACATAAACTATATTCACAATTTCACAGTAACATAACTTTTCTTCTCTGCATCTAATGGTGCTATGCAGTGGCTATATGGCACCCGAATACGCATTCGATGGCTTATTCTCAATAAAATCAGATGTCTTTAGCTTTGGTATATTAGTGTTGGAGATTGTAAGTGGAAAGAAAAGCAGAGGCTTTCACCATCAAAATAATGGTCTTACCCTCATTGGACATGTAAGTTGTCAAGAAGCTTCATTAATTATTATTATATCGAAGTACTAATTGAAATTATCAATAACGACACTTTCGGAATTTGCAATGTTCTAGGTATGGAAATTGCATAGAGAAGGCAATTCAATTGAAATGCTTGATAAGAGCTTGAGGGTAGCAGACCACAACCTAAAACAAGTGTTGCGTTGCATTCACGTCGGTCTCTTATGCGTGCAACAAAGTCCGGTAGACAGACCAAACATATCGACAGTGGTTGCAATGTTGGGAAGTGAGAGTGAGCTGCCTCAACCCAAACTACCCGGCTATTTCACGGAGATGGATGCAGTGAAAGGAGACAGTTCCTCTACAAAGCCCGACTTGTCTTCAACGAATGATATGAGCATCACACTGCTTGAGGCCCGATAAGGCTTAATTAATATCTAATTATGGCGAACTTTTTGCAAGAACTCAAAACCTTATTATTAGCCTAATTATATACTAACTCATTCATGAATTTGTTGTATTTATTTTTGGAGTAAGTTTGTAGTTCTGCTTAACCGAGTGGATTGAAATAACCTATTGGATAGTATATATGAGTCACTCTTAACTCTATAAAAGCATGGTAATTTGCAGTTATGCTCTGGTGCCGTTCTTACTGGGGAAAAAAAAAAAAAAAAAAATCTACCAACAGTGATGATTTTCCATCATCTATCTGCAGTAGTGATGAGTTTTTTACTCTCACATCTTGATTGTCATTTTATTCGTGATCTTTTCATTTATGTGTTTGTGTGTGGTTTCATACATAGTGGGAAAGAACTAAAGACTTTAAGGTGGGAAAGATCTACAACATCGACAACAGATTCAATATCGACGGCATGAAAACATCAATGAGGACCAGTGCGTGAAAACACACACACACACATATATGTATTGCTTTAACTGTCGTAGACCACACCAGCTACTCTGGTAGAACTGCTTCTTCATTGATGCAGGGCGTGAGACCTTTAAACTTAATGATTAGGAGAAAGTTTATCCTTCTAATATTTTCTTAAAACGATTAGTGAATAAAGCAGATAATGGCAAAGTAACCTTAAAACACAAACATATATATAGGATACTAAACGGGTTTATGTGGAAAAATTTGCACTATGAGGGGCCAATCTGGCCTGTCAGTGGTAATTTATTGATCACGATAACCTGAGTTTGTTCTTGGCCATCCGATTGATATTTTCCAACAATTAGGGTCAAGGGCTAAAATCAGAATTCGTTGACAGAACCAAGATAAGGATCAAGATCGCAGATGGGGCCCAACTTAAGAGGCATTTCTAGGGTTGTGGCATGGTAGTGATTGGGGTTCAGATCACAGCCACAGTAAAGATTAAAACTGACGTCATTCTCGTGGTTGGAGTGGACGCTAGGATTGATTTTGCCCTTGATTCAACTCTCCCTTCCCCCGGAAATTTTTAATTTACAACATTTACATGGTATTTTTAGAAAATTTCAATGATATCCTAAATTTTGATTTTTTTTTTAAAGTACTCTCCTTCTAAATTTAAAATCTCTAATAAATGAAAATTTGAATTTTTTAGGGAAATCAAAATTTAATTGTACTACTATATAAATTCAAAAGTTTTAAACTCCAAGAGTTGACAATTAATATTGCACTTCATTACAAGCTTGGTTCATTTAGGGGAAAAAAGTTAAAGATACTAAAAGATAAATAAGTGAAAAAGCCTGTTGTGTTGTAGTTTAGTTTAAAGTTTTTCTTTGATATAGCACCCGCAGCCACCCACCCCCCAATAAAAAAAGAAAAGATAGCAAAGTGCCTGTGTCTTTTTCTTTGAGAGAGTCTAAGTCCGATTGAATTGTAAGTTTGAGTTCTTGATAGATTGATCATTATCTGAGCGTGACCCCGCGGAGTAGGTAGCTACCGAACTGCGATACCAAATTGCCTGTGTCTTTTTCTATTTCTCGTGTTTCTTACATTTGTCGCAACAAACTTACCAACAATTGTTATCAGATCGGGTCACTAACGTTGTTATTGGTGAGGTCCTGGTATATCGGTTGCTTTGCAGGCATGGATATCATGAGAGAAGGAGGCTCGGTGATTAAATGTGACGACCCTCCTATGAGGCCGCCACTGTAACTTAAACTTTAACTTGTACTTACTGGGGTTTCTTAAAATTTGCGGAACATTTTTTTTTTTTTTTAATATAAGAAAGAATACTTTCATAATTTGTAACAATAATTTCAAATAAGTGAATCACTAAATTTCTTAAAGCTTTTCTTAATTTCAGTTAAGATAAAACGTTCTAAAAATATCTTTCAAACAGAGCAGCATTTGAACTCTTATTTCAAATGCTCTTTAAAAGTCTTTCTAAAACTAGCCAATTCAATCGGGCCATTTAATTTTGACTTTAAAACGGATTTCGTGAGAAATCTTAAATTCAAGTACATCTTAAAGCCCTTTTAAAATCAATCATTTAAATCGTCATGTTTAAAATTTATTTATTTGTTGCATGCTCTGTTGCAACGTTCTAAAACTTAAATACTCAAAACGAGGGTTGTTAGCTACAACCTCGGTTTCCTTAACATACATATGTACCTATACTTTTTAAACATACATGCTTGAAACCTTTAAATCATATATACATATACATGATTTTTCTTAAACTTACTGCGGAAGATAACTGCGTGAGCGGTATCCATTCCCATCTCCACCATTCGTCCGCCGCTTGCCATTGCCCTTCAAGAATTGCTGATAGGTTTCTTACCTACA